TAGTTAGTATTTCTGTTCAGCTCAGTTCACCGGTGCTGCTGTTACAGCAGTTGGGATGCTGCATACTGAAATTATACAATAATTATAATAATGTTCCAGACATGAATATGCTGTTGTACATTTGAGGTTCTGGTTTCCCACCACAGAAATATGACCCATAATGCAGTTTGTCCTCTCTGGTCAGATAATCTGAGGGATCAAATGTCTGCAAGTTGATTTTTAAAGAAATGAAACCAATCGCTGCCTGTTAGAAAATAACAGGAAATAAGCCATAAAAATACAGTAATTTGCTATAATTAAATACAGTGTTTAGCTTTAATTTTACATAAAAATATTGGTGTCATTTTTTTTTGTCTCTTTTTAATGTTTAAATATATTTACAGTGTAAAACAATGATCTATAAAATCCAGGTGAACTCCCTGCTATAACACAATAATGCCCAGACTTAAGCATTTACAGCAGAGTGCTTGTTATTATTGGTTGGTAATTATTTTAATGTAATGTTATAAAGTTAAGAACTGTAATAAGTCATTATCTTGTAAATGACAGTAATTATTGCTTGTTTACACGATAAAAACTGTATTTTGGACAGTTTACCAATGCTTATACACTGATAAACAACATTTATTCAACTTCCATCATTATACAAGATATCTGTCAGTTAACTAACTAATCCATTAAAATTACACAACTAATACTTTTTACTGTTAATGTCACTGATTTTATATAATTTTATAAACTTATTAACAGTATTAAACTTTAATTTAACAGTTTAATAAACAGTAAATATCTGTGATTTTTTTATATAAAAAATGTCTACTCAGTAATTTAATAATGATGATTAATAATTGATACATCAGAACTGCAGTAAGAATCAATAAAGCTGAATATCATTGGTGTTAATGTGAATGTTGTATTTATAGGTTATTTCATGTGTAAATATCTTTGTTAAATTAAAGCTAAAAACTTTATTTTAATTATAGAAGATGACTGTGAGTTATTTTCTGCTGGAATATTAAAGTTTGTATTGATTTGGTTCCGATGTTCTGATGATAATATTCAGTGTTGCTGCTGAGAGGCTCCTCGATCAGTAAAGCAGCTTTAAAGGTTCATTCATCAGTTTAATAATTA